TCCTCCCCACTCCCGTCAAAAGTAACTTCTTCCTCCAGCCTGGGTGACATAGTGAAATCCTGTCTCTACAAATACAGAAAAATTAGCCAGGTATGATGATGAGCTCCTGTAGTCCCAGCTACTGAGGAGGCAGAGGAGGGAAGAGGATTGCTTGAGCCAGAGAGGTGGACATTACAATGAGCCGAGCTTGTGCCACTGCCCTCCAGGCTGGGTGACAGAGTGAGACCCTAACACACACAAAAAAGTTACTTCATCCTAATGTCTGTCACCATCAATCAGTTTTGCCTGTTTTTAAACTTTACATAGGTAAAATCATTCAGTGTCTTCTCTTAGGTCAGGCTTCCTTTGTTTCATTCATTATTATGTTTTTGAGATTCATTCATGCCATTTCGAATAGCAATAGTTCATTCTCATTAATGTGTGTGTGTGTCTATATATATAGACACACACACACATCTACATATACGTATACACACACACACACACATATATATATATATATATTTTTGAGACAGAATCTTGCTCTGTTGCCCAGGCTGGAGTGCAGTGGTACAATCTTGGCTCACTGCAACCTCCACCTCCCTGGCTCAAGCGATCCTCCTGCCTCAGCCTCCTGGCCTCATTACTGTATAATATAATATTTCATTGTTTGACTGCACCACACTTGATGTACTCTACTATTGAGACATTTGGCTTGTTTACAGTTTGGGGCTTTTATGAATGCTTCTGCTAGGAACATTCTTGCAGATGCCTTTTGGTATACATCTTACCATAAAAGTTTCTGTTGGACATGTGTCTAGGAGTGACACTGACAGATTTTAGAGAATGTATATGTTCAGCTTTGGTAGATGCTATCAAACAGTTTTCTGAAGTTTTACCAGTTTACACTCTCACAAATAATGACTAAGAGTTTCAGCTGTGCCATGTCCTCATCTGCACTTGATATAACTCATTGCATTTTTATTTCTGCCCTTATTGCTCTGCTGAAACTGCTGTTACCAAAATAAATCGGACATTTTTTATCCTCATGTTACTTGTCCATTTTGCAGTATTGATGATCTTAATTGCTTCATCCTTGAAACTTCCTATTCCTTTAAATACTATGATACTGGCCTCTCCTGTCTTTCTCCTACCACTGCAGTCTCTTCTCCTCAATTTACTTCTCAGCTCTTTGTTCTCTCTCCATCCCTTAAATGCAAGTGTTCCCCAAGTGTCCCCCTTTGTTTTCACTCTAATACATACTCCTTGGGTGATTTTTAAATCTTTAATGGTTTCATCTACCACTTACATGAGGAAGGTGTCCAAATATATATCTGGCTCAAATTTCTTTTCTGCGTGCCAGACTGCTTATACAGCTTTCTATTGAAATATTCCACTTGGATTTCCAAAGATACTTTAAACATATACCTATTTAAATATATTACAATTTATCATTCAACTGTTGATGTATATGTAGGTTGTTTCTTGTTTTTGCTGTTTTTCTCCTTTTGTTCCTTTTCTTATATTTCCTGTTTTAGTAAATAGTGCCACATCTACCCAGTTGCCCAAGCCAGCAACTTGAGAATTATTCTTTACCACTATACCTTACCAACCCTTATCATGAGCCCACCCTTCTCCTACATCCCATTTACTTGGTCACAAATCCTAATAGTTTTAACTCCTAAACTTTTTTTCTCCTCTGTCCTATAGACTTTATCCAATCAGGCCCTTTTGATTATCAATATCAGTACAATTTATTCAATACTGGCTGTGTGCTTTTAATGTACATCAAATAATTTAACCCACAATAACTCTGTGAGGATGGTAATTTTATCCCAATTATACAGATGAAAAAACTGAGGCTCAGAAAGACTGTCTTAAGGTTGCACAGCTGCTAAATGGTGCAGAGGGTGAGATAGGATTGGAATTCAAGACTGTCTGACTTCAAAGCCTGTGCCCTTAACCATGATACTCTGCTGGACTGCAGTTACCACTCTCAACAACAGCAACTTTTTTGGACTCCCTGGCTACAGTCATGCTTTCTCTAATTGATGTCACTTCTTTATTTTAAATCCTTCAATGGCTCCTGCTTGCTAAGAACCCGATAAAGTCTAAGTTCTTAGCATGGGATACTCTCTATGCCTGGACCTTACTGTTCTTTTTAGCTTTACATCTCTCCTCTTTACCTCTGTTCTCCAGCTCTGCTGAACCACATGCAGCAACTAAGGTGTATTGCAGTCACTTTTATACTTTTGTGCCTTTCTAATTACTTCCTTTTCTTCTTTGCCTGGCTAACTCATTTGTCCTTCAAGACACTGTTTAGATCCCCCAGACATTCTACTGAGAAACATTTCCTGACTTCTAAACCATTTTGGTGCATGTCGTCTATGCTCTCAGCATACCCATGCTGTATCATAGCACTAGCACGTGTTTCTATCATTGTAATTATCACACCTCAAACAAATGGATTGTTCTCTTTTTGCCTCCTCGTTAGAATGACAACACCCTGAGGACCCGTGCTATTTTAATCCTTTTTTTTTCTTTTGTAACCACAGTGCCTAGCATATGGAAGCATTCCACAAATATTTGTTGGCTAACTAATTTTAAATTGAACATAAAAGTACCTGTTCTTGTACACATTGATTTTTATCATCTCCAGAAGGTTTTGTTTTTGTTTTGGATTGGGAGGTGTAGAAAACTGAAGCAATAACAACTTATTCTACATAGTAGCTTATACCTCGCAATCTTCATGTGATTGACACAAAACTGGGTTTGCCTTCCCTATGTCAAGGTTAGTAGAAATTCTAGCACAGATTCATAGACTGGCTTGTAGAATCCTTGGAAGGAACTTGGCAGCTTCAGCTTACCTAGGGACATTCTCTTAAAATAATGGAAAACTCAAGTTGAAAAAAACAACAAAGGGGTACAAAATAATGGAAAACATGGAGTCCTCTATGGTAAGAAATATCTACTCCAAGTGGTAAAAAGTGGTAGTAGTTCTGGACTGCGTGGTATAAACCAAGGTTCTCAGAGGTTTCATGAAACCCAGTTGGTGCTTTTAGAGTCTTCCTTTGCCTTTGAAACTACAGCAACTTTCTTTAGTCTAAATGAAAGACTAAGGAGAAAATACCCAGGTCACCCCTTTATGACGGCTTAAACAAGTATGTGCTTATTTTTATACCTTAGAACAATTTAATAATACGTGGCATTTATTTATATATTTAATTTTCTGTGTTAATTGTGGTGGAAGTGTAAAAAGTAGTCCTCACTCTTATGTTTATTGTCTGTTGTAATGACTATATAATAGTCAAAGTAGTATATAATCAATTTAAAAAATATAATGATCGAGCCCATTCCTTCAATAGGGCAAATGGGATGGTCACCATGTGCTCTGCCCTTTTGGTAGAGGGTGAGGAGGGGATACTCTCCTCACCCTCCTTTTTCTAAATGCCACTGGCTCTGGGTGTGGTGGCCGATACTTGCAATCTCAGCACTTTGGGAGACCAAGGTGGGCAGATCACTTGATGTCAGGAGTTTGAGACCAGCCTGGCCAATGTGATGAAACCCTATCTCTACTAAAAATACAAAAAAAATTAGTCAGGTGTGGTGGTGGGCGCCTGTAATCCCAGTTACTAGGGAGGCTGAGGCAGGAGAATCACTCTGCTGGGAGGCAGAGGTTGCAGTGGGCCAAGATAGTGTCACTGAACTCCAGCCTGGCCAACAGAGCCAGACCTTGTCTAAATAAATAAATATAAATGCCACTAAAATTCAATTTTAAATCTTTTGGACAAAGGAAGGGGAGGGATTAGGAAGAGGCAAGAGAGGGGGCTCCTGAGGTACTAGGTAACGTTATAATTCTTATATGTTAATTTTGATATTTTATTGATCTTTATAGTTATGTTTTATGTACTTTTCCATATGTACCTTATATTTCATTAAAATATTTTAAACAATTCTAGAAATTTATAAATTTCTGTCTTTAAACATTTCTCAGAGGGACCTATGAAAGATGCTAATGGTGAGGTTCTTTTCCAGTGCCCTTATTTTGCATGGTCCACCATGGGTTGAGAAGCCCTAGCCTAGTGGTGTGTACATTCTAAGTGGAGTGGGAAAACAGTGAAGGACAAGATTAGCATGGGCAAGAGTCTTTAGGGAAAACAAAATGTCTATTCATTCCGTAAACATTAATTGGGCACAAGCCATATATGGAATACTGTACTGATACAGAAAACTTTGGCTGGGCATGGTGGCTCAAGCCTATAATCCCAGCACTTTGGGAGGCCGAGGTGGACAGATCAGCTGAGGTCAGGAGTTGGAGACCAGCCTGGTCAAATGGTGAAACCCCATCTCTACTAAAAATACAAAAATTAGCCGGGCGTGGTGGTGAGCACCTGTAATCCCAGCTACTTGGAAGGCTAAGTCAGGAGAATTGCTTGAACCCAGGAGGCAGAGGTTACAGTGAGGTGAGATCATGCCAATGTACTCCAGCTGGGCAGCAGAGTGAGACTCCATCCCAAAAACAAACAAACAAGCAAAACACAAAAACTTGAAGGAGACCAAAGGTCAGAGTTGGAGGGGAAAAATAAAATGTGGATGCTGTCAATTAATTCTGATTGTAGCTATCTACTAGTCTTTATAGAATAATATAAATAAGCAGTGCTTATTTAGCATTTACTGTGTACTAAGATATTTACATGTATTAACTCCTTTCATCAGCACAGTAACATTATGAAGTAGGTACTACTACCAGTATCTCATTTTATAGATGAGGAAACTGAGGTACAGAGATCCTGAAGTCACTCAGCCAGGAAGTAGTGGAGCTAATATTCAGGCCCAATTGTCAGAGTCCCTGTTTGTCTCCTCAAAATCACTATGCTTTGTGAAATTAATGCAAAGACTATCAAAGGAGATGTAGGTTGATCTGGAGGCACTATTTGAAGATAGTCAGTGATCCTGCTTCCAGTACTCTGTTGTTTATGTGTTTTGGAGCTCTGTGTGAATGTCTTTTCTTCTTTTTACAGACATGGCTGGATTCCGCCAAAGAAATAAAAAAGCAGGTTCGTGGTAAGTGGATATAGCTCTTTTTATAGTTTGTTCTTTTCTTTTAGTAGGTCAGAGGATTTCCAACCATTTCTGGCTGTGAGTCAGTCACTTTAGAATCCTGACTACTGCAGAGTGCTTTGAAATTGAGATAAAGCCTTCTCTTGGAAGGAGGAGATTCCATAATAGAAAAATATAGCAGAGGTGGATACTATTGAGATGTAGGTCAGATTTTGTTGATTTTTTTTTTTTTTACAACTGGGCAAAGTTGGGGAAGATAGGAAGAGTTGGGAGTAACAGAAGGTGGAAAAGAACAAAGATGAGAAAAGAAAAAGGATATGGGAGTCAGCTCTCAAAATGGTAGTGACTGAAACTGCAGTTGCCTGCTAGGAGTTTGCAGCCGGATCCTATTCTTTTTAAATTGTTCTGAACTATTGCATTATAAATTTTATGTTTTCTTCCTATGGTTGTTTGCATCCCTTTTAACAGTCTTCTTCCAGACTGTAAAATAAAGGACTGTGGAAGAAAAAAGAATGGAAGAACAAGAATTGCTTGCCACTGACCCTTCTGACATTGTGGCTTTGCTCCTAGCTCTAAGCCCTCTAATGTATAGTCTCACCTTATACCCTGATAAGACTGATGTCTTGGGATAAATATTTCTGGGTTGAAAAAAGTATAGATTCATATTTTGCAAGTCCAGACTCAGTGGCTAATTAAGACTACCTGTCCTTTTAGTTTAGTTTTGAAGAAACTTCCAGGAAATGCTATAGTTGTTATTTATCATGATTAGTAAGTTTTTCTTTCACCTGAAAACAAACTTTGCTTTTCATTTGTTTCTTAGAAGAAAACACTTTTGTTACGGTGAAATGTTTTCCTTTAGACCCTGTTTGTAATTGCTTTAGTTTTCTTAAGTAAAGAAACAAAATATTCTTGGACTGATAACTTTTTGCATTTGCTTTCTACCTATAAAAGCTTGTTTTAAAATGCAAGTCACAGCAAAAAATATTAATAATATTTGAAACACCAAAAGAAAAGTATAACTCCTTGCTCCTTTCAATGAAAATACTTTTAATATGAAATATTACTAAGGAGCATATGATTATATAAGAAGATTCTTTAGGAGGAAAAATTAACAGAGTTTTTGATGAGTAAAAAAGAATATCTAGTGGATCGTCTTCCTGGATATTAAAAAAAATCTTGCTAAGAAAAGGAACCTAAATATTTTTCAGTTAAAAAAATTACAGAATAATAAAAACATTTCTTTCAACATGGGGGGAAAAAAAACCCATGTCCCTTACAAAAACTTTAATAGGGAATCAAATTGTAAACATTTTTTTAAGCCAAAGAGAAGAATAACATTTATTGCAAAGGTGGGTTTTTTTTTTTTAAGTTTTTTTTAGTGACAGCACTCTGTCACTCAGGCTGGAGTCAAGTGGCGCAGTCCTAGCTCACTGTAGCCTTGAACTCCTGGACTCAAGGGATCCTCCCTCCTCAGTCTCCAAAGTGCTGGGATTACAGGTGTGACCCACCATGTGTGGCTGGTCTGAATGTATATAGACATACATGAAAGTGTGTTTTAGTATAAATATGCAACCAATCTTTTTTGTTTAACATAATTTAGAGTGCTATCCATATCAATATATATACATTTATTTCATCTCTTAATTTTAGGCCAGGCACGATGGCTTATGCCTGTAATCCCAGCACCTTGGGACACTGAGGAAGGAGTATTGCATGAGCCCATGGGTTTGAGACCAGCCTAGGCAACATATGGAGACCCCGTCTCTACAAAAAATTTAAAAATTAGCTGAGTGTTGTGGTGCATGCCTGTAGGCCCAGCTACTCAGGAGACTGAGGTGGGAGGATCACTTGGGCCTGGGAGATTGAGGCTACAATGAGCCATGATCATGCCACTGCATTCCAGCATCTGTGACAGAGTGAAACCGTATCTCAAAATACTACTGCTACTACTACTAATTTTTAAATGATTATACACACACTAAATGGGTCCTATTGATGGGCATTTTGGGTTAATCCCAACGGGTTACTATTACAAACAAGCCTGCAGTGAATTTATTTATATGTATATCTCTGTATACATATGTAAATGTCTATAGATAAATTCCTAGAAGTATAATAAAAATGATGACTATTAAAATTATTACAGATATTCAATAATATTTTGCATTTAGTTGTCATATCTCTTTAGTTTTCATTAATCTGGAATAGTTCCTGAGTCTTTAAAGTATTTCATAATATTGACAGGTTTTTATTTTTATTTTTTGAGACACAGTCTTGCTCTGTCACCCAGGCTGGAGTGCAGTGGCACCATCTCAGCACTGCAGTTTCCACCTCCCAGGTTCAAGAGATTTTCCTGCCTCAGCCTCCCAAGTATCTAGGATTACAGGCACCCACCACCATGCCCTGCTTTTTTGTGTTTTTAGTAGAGATGGGGTTTCACCATGTTGGCCAGGTTGGTCTTGAACTTCTGATCTCAGGTGATCTACCCACCTCGGCCTCCCAAAGTGTTGGGATTACAGGCATGAACCACCATACCTGGCCAATAGTGACAGTTTTGAAGAATAGAGATGAATTATTTCATTTTAATTAATTAATTAATTAATTAAGTTTTTGGAGACAGCCTTGCTCTGTTGCCAGGCTAGAGTGCAATGGCATGATCTGGGATCACTGCAACTTCTGCCTCCCGAGTTCAAGAGATTCTCCTGCCTCAGCCTCCTGAGTAGCTGGGACTACAGGCACACACCACCACACCCACCTAATTTTTGTATTTTTAGTAGAGACGAGGTTTCACCCTGTTGGTCAGGATGGTCTCAATCTCTTGATCTCATGATCCGCCTGCCACGGCCTGCCAAAGTGCTGGGATTACAGGTGTGAGCCACCATGCCTGGCCCAGATGAGTTATTTTATAAATGGTCAGTTTAACTTTGTCTGATATTTCCTCATGGTTAGATTCAGGTTATGCACTTTTGGGAGGAATGTCACTACAGTGTTACTGAATTAGAAGACAGAAAGTTTAATGTTAACATTTTTTTAGAGCTTTTCCAGCTACATTTTCTTCTTTCACTAAATATTCTCCATGAAGTGTTATTAATTATTTCTGCCATAGTCTAGAAATGGTCACTGACTAAAGCTTATTTTTAATATTTTTTGAATCCCAAATGATTAACTTTTTTAGCTTTCCTGTTGCATTTAACCCTGAGCTTGCTTATATGAAACTGGGTAATTGTTTTAGTAGTCTCTAAAACTCATAATTGTTGCATGGAAAAGAATAGGAACTGAAAGTTCTTATGAAAAATATTCCTACGTTGGCCAGGCTAATCTTGAACTTCTGACCTCAAATGATCTGCCCACCCCATCCTCCCAAAGTGCTGGAATTACAGGCATGAGCCACTGCGTCCAGAGACAAAGTCTTACTCTGTCACCCAGGCTGAATGCATGGCATGATCTTGGCTCACTGCAACCTCAGCCTCCTGGGTTCAAACAATTCTCCCACCTCAGCCTCCTGAGTAGCTGGGACTACAGGCGCCCACCACCACGCCTGGCTAATTTTTTTGTGTGTGTTTTTAGTAGAGACAGGATTTCACAAGTTGGCCAGGCTGGTCTTGAACACCTGACCTTGTGATCCACCTGCCTCAGCCTCCCAAAGTGCTGGGATTACAGATGTGAGCTACTGCACTTGGCCTGCATTTCTTTTTAAAAATATTTTTTTCCCTGGAGCTTTAGCATTCCTATATGACCTAAACAACAATGCCATGAGATCAGTTACTTTATTTCATTCTTTCAGTTAGCAAATATTTCTTGAGTACCTATTGAGGCAGGAGAATACGACCTGGAAGCTTGTCTTTTTAAGGTCTATATCAAGAATTATAAGTTAACAATGGATAGATTGATGTGATTTTATTATATTAGAAAGTGAAAGAGTAGGTGGTATTGGTTTGTGGTATACACTGAAAATACTTCCCCCACTCTCCTTCTGAGAAACAATTATGAGTTTGTCTTTCTAATCTAAGTCCCATGTAAAGTTTCTGCAATATGAAGCATTAGAAGTGAGTTGGGCCGGGCACCGTGTCTCATGCCTGTAATCCCAGCACTTCAGGAGGCTGAGGCAGGTGGATCACTTGAGGTCAGGAGATCAAGACCATCCTGGACAACATGGTGAAACCCCATCTCTACTGAAAATACAAAAATTAGCTGGGCATGGTGGTGCTTGCCTGTAACCCAGCTATTCAGGAGGCTGAGGCAGGAGACTCACGTGAACCAGAGGTTGACAGATCTGTCGGTGGTTGCAGTGAGCCAAGATTGTACCACTGCATTCCAGCCTGGCAACATAGTAAGACTCCATCTCAAAAACAAAAAAGAGGAAGTGAGTCGATGATAAGTATTAGTATCTGACTAACTTTGAGATACCCTTGTTATATGGTCTGGAATTTGCCTTTTAGTTCGTATGTTGAAGGAAGGAAAATGTTGGCTATTTCTAAGGAAATACTATATTAAATATTTTGGTATGCTTAAAAGCACACATTAAGACATTCAAACTAATTCAAATCATAATCTGCATATTTTCATTGTAAACTATTAGCAATAAAATGGTATTTGGAGATGAAACATTATGGACACAAAACACAGAATGATATTTGACACATAGATGTTTGTAGCAGGATAGTAGAGTCCAGTGGTTAAAAGCATGGGCTTTGGCTGGGCCCGGTGGCTCACACCTGTAATCCCAGCACTTTGGGAGGTCAAGGCAGGAGGATCATAAGGGCAAGAGATTGAGACCATCCTGGCCAACATGGAGAAACCTGTCTCTATTAAAAATACAAAAATTAAGCTGGACGTGGTGGCACATGCCTATAATCCCAGCTACTTGGGAGGGTGAGGCAGAAAAATCGCTTGAACCCAGGAAGCAGAAGTTGCAGTGAGCCGAGATCGTGCCGCTGCAGTCCAGTGTGGCAACAGAGCAAGATTTCGTCTCAAAAAAGAAAAAAAAAGCATGGGATTTAGAGTAAGAGAACCCTTGGTTAACTAGCTGTGTACTTTCCTAAGCATTTGTTTCTTCATACATAAAATGAATTAACGCTACTATAAAATGAATTAGTACCTTCCTCCTTGGGTTTCTCTGAGGATTAAATGTGTTAATGTATGTAAGAGGGCTGGCTTAGTACCTGGCATGCAATAAGTCCTGAACAAAATGGCAACTCTTAGCATCATAACCAATTATACTTATTTGGGCTGAGACCAGGCCTTACTTTTAGGTAAGCCAACAGTCATGCTAGAAAAACCCTGAAGGGAAGCAATCAGCTGGAAAAATGGAAATGCATTCTCCATTTAACCTTTACTCATCTCTGATTTTCATTGTAGGTCAAAAATATGACACATTCTTATGAGTCTTAGGGTTAAACTCTTGTGGTTTTCATACCTGAAATATTTTTATTAAAACTATAGTTTCTGAGAGCCACCTATATTACTTCTTGTTTCTAAAATAACTGCCTGTCTCACCCATATTATTGAGAAGAATGCTTTTGTTTGAGATGCTGTTGACAGATCTCACAAATATGCCATAACCAAAAAATAACCTTTATGGGTCACGTGAATGACCTTCTGAGGACCCAGAGTCATAGACTTTGTAATGGTGCTTCTATTAATGATGGACCACATATACAGTGGTGGTCCTATAAGATTATAATACCATTTTTTAAAGACAGGGTCTTTTGTGTTTTTTTTCTTTTTGAGACAGGGTCTCGCTCTGTTGCCCTGGCTGGAGTGCAGTGGTGCAATCACAGCTCACTACAGCCTCAACCTCTTGGGCCCAAGTGATCCTCCCATCTCAGCCTCCCAAGTAGTTGAGACCACAGGCATGTGCCATCATGACTGGCTAATTTTTTTATTTTTGTAGAGTTAGAGTCTCCCCATGTTGTTCAGTCTGGTCTCAAACTCCTAGGTTTAAGCAATCCTCCCACCTTAGCCTCCCAAAGTGCTGAGATTACAGGTGTGAGCCACTGTGCTGAGCAGAAACAGAGTCTTGCTCTGTCACCCAGGCTGAAGAGCAGTGGTTCAATCAATTCACTATAACCTTAAACTCCTATGCTCAAGGGATCCTCATGCCTCAGCCTTCTGAGTAGCTGGGACTACGGGCATACACCACCATATCTGGGTAATACTTATCTTTTTTGCAGAGACAGGATCTCACTTTCTTGTCTAGGCTGGTTTCAAATTCCTGGCCTCAAGTGATCCTCCTGCCTCAGCCTCCCAAAGTAAATAATATCATATTTTTACTGTACCTTTTCTGTGGTGAGATATACAAATATTTACCAGTATGTTACAGTTACTTACAGTATTCAGCACAGTAACATGCTGTACAGGTTTGTAGCTGAGGAGCAATAGACTATATCATGTAGCCTAAGTGTGTAGTAAGCGAAACCGTCTTGATTTGTGTAAACACACTATGATGTTTGCATGATGACATGGCATTTCTCAGAGTATCTCTGTCATTAAGTGAGACATGTCTGCATATAGATCACATTTTGAAAACCATTGCTACAAACAAGTTGACTTTTAAGATGGTTTTCCTTATGTTATTTTGTCTTTGTAGTTCTAATCCTTTATAAATAAAACTGTTATATTAAGTCAGGCAAAAAAATGAGATCCTCTAGCTTGAATCATTAGGTAATATCTAAGCAACTTTCTTCTTTTTAAAAAATTATTTTATCCACCAAGCATGAAAATATTTAAAGATATATAAATGAAAAAAAAGAAACATTTGAATATTTTGAGGTACTTCCAACAATTAGAAACTTGGATATAAACATAAAATTCTTTTGTGTTTATTTTTATAGGTATCCCTTGGAATTTTACATTTAATGTGAAGTTTTATCCACCTGATCCAGCACAGTTAACAGAAGACATAACGAGGTAAATAAGTGATAGTTAAATATGTAATTTTTACATAGAGTAATGTGTATGATGAGATAGTAATTCTTACCACTATAAGCTCTGCTAATTCCCTATTCAGAACTGAAGAAAAATAATGAATTAAGTAGCCTAAGATTGAAAGTTTCTGGTCACTTCAAGGCAGGTGTACAAATAAGTGAGCCTAAAAGCCTTAAGTATCTGTGACCTGTATCACAAGTATCAGGAAAGTGGTAGGGAAACTGGCCTTGCTTATCATGGGTATTATACCAAGCTGTAGACAGGGCTTCTACCAGCACCCTCCAAAGGGCAAGACACAAAAATAGTGATAAAGTGGCTCTGCTGTTTTTTTGGGTCTCTTTTCATACTCCTTTCCTACCATGTTTCTTCTTATAGGTATCAAAAAAGCTGAAAGTCTAAGTGTTATTATTATTTCTTCCTGTCTCCCTTTTAAAATGTTTGATGAAGTACTTAGTCCCCTGAACTGAATCTTCCTTGGACCCCACCTAATTTGTGAAATCTTTTACGCTTTAGAAACAGCCTACTGATGTCTTTTAAGAAAATAGCTTTTATTGGATTCTATAAAAATATTAACTAAAAAAATAAAATGGAAAATCAATATATTATAAAGCACTACTATGCATATTTATATCCATGACATCTTGCATAGGGTCTTAGCCATAGTAGATGTCTGGCAAATGTTTGTTAATTAAACTGTTGGTTGTTGAGTAACTGCTTTCCATTTCTGATTTTGCTGCCAACTATCTGATTCCAGGCAGACTTAATAGTCTCTAGGCCTCAGTTTCCGTATCAAATAAGAGAATAGACTAACCTCTTAAGAAATCTGAATATTAAGTTCTGTAAAAAGTCAATACCATTTTTTTCTTATTACTTATCGTCTAGTTATCCTCAGTACATTCTTGAAGTTGAGATGCCAGATCTCTGCCTTAAAAAGTTCTTTCAGTTATTTCTTTTTCACAGTAATATTTGTCTTTTGGAATTGGTAATCATCTTTCTTTATCTAGGCTTATATATGAAACAAAACATATCTAAAAACTTTTGCTAATTATTTACATTTCAGAGGAGTTTAAAATTTTTGTGCCTTGTTTGGCATTGCTCTGACATTTAAAAATACATGTACGCAGTCAGACACAGTGGCTTATGCCTGTAATCCCAGCACTTTGGGAGGCCGAGGCAGGCAGATCACTAGGTCAGGAGATCGAGACCATCCTGGCTAACATAGTGAAACCCCATCTCTACTAAAAATACAAAAAATTAGCTGGGCATGGTGGCACATGCCTGTAATCCCAGCTACTTGGGAGGCTGAGGTGGGAGAATCACTTGAACCCAGTAGGTGGAGGTTGCAGCGAGCCAAGGTCACACCATTGCACTCCAGCCTGGGCAACAAGAGAAAAATTCCATCTCAAACTAAAAAAAAAAAAAAAAAAAAAGTATGTTTGTTGGACTGAACTGTTTTAACTGCAAACTGCAATTCCCAACAGTTTAGCACACAGATGGAGTTAGTCTTACAAGGTGGCTAATAGTTTGTGGAAGGCTGCATGCGACTTAACTCATCTTGGAGACAAAATACACCAGAATATTTATATCCTAGTGAAAATGTGTCAGTAATATCATCTTTGTATATGAAGGGCAATATCTGCATACTTGGCAAAGCAATGTGATAGAAAAGAAAGGGCCTGGCTTTGGAGCCAGTCTTTATTACTACCTGACACTGAGCACGCTAAGCCGCTGAGCTGCTTTCTCATCTATAATCTGACAATGATACCTCCCCTCACAAGTGTGTGTGTGTGTGTGTGTGTGTGTGTGTGTGTGTGTGTGTGTGTGTGTATTAGGTGAGATAATTTGTATATCTGGGGTACTTAGTATACTTAAAAAAATATTAGTTTCGTTACTTCCTTTAGACTTTCCCAACTTTTCCTCTTTCTAAACATGTGTCCAACATAGTTACAGTATTTTTTTTAAGTTTTAATATGGAAAAATTTCAAACACACAGAAAGAGAGAAATAATAGTGCAATGAACTACCTAGATTGAACAATTATTAATATTATCTTTACTTAATTGCTCTCTTTTCTTGTTTCTCCTTATTTTTCTCTCTCCCTTTTTCTTTCTGCCCTTTTCTCCTTTTTCTCTCTCTATATTTTGTTATTGTTGTTGTTGCTGACATAACATCTTTTCTCTTTTGGCTGTAGATATTATTTATGTCTTCAGCTTCGGCAGGACATAGTTGCAGGACGTCTGCCCTGTTCCTTTGCAACCTTAGCATTGTTAGGTTCTTACACCATCCAGTCTGAACTGGGAGACTACGACCCAGAACTCCATGGCATGGATTATGTTAGTGATTTTAAACTGGCCCCGAATCAGACCAAGGAACTTGAAGAGAAGGTCATGGAACTGCATAAGTCATACAGGTGAATATGTCTCCAGGGTTTGTTCAGTGTTTGTTTTGGCAATGAGTTTAAATACTTAGCATGGCATTGGTTCAGTGTTTGCCTAAGAGGGAGCATGGTGCCCTAGAAAGAGTTTCCTCCACTGTTTGACTTTGGGCAGGTCACTTAACCTCTCTTAATCTAAGCTTTCTCATCAGAGTAATGGGCATTGCATTGTAGGATGAAAACTAAATGAGGTAATATATGTAAAGCACTTAGTGCAGCTGCTGGTTCAGTGCTCAGCAAATGGCAGCTATTATTATTTTTGTCGCCTTACCTTTTATTTTTTATCAGATTTAAAACTCACTATGCTGCATTAGGTGCCTTAAGATCCTTAGAGCAGGGGTTTTTAATTTGAGATCTTTATACATGGATAGATTTCAGAGGGCCCATGAAACTCTTGGAGGGATTTTTAAAAGTCTTTGTTAAATTCACTGACTATCCTGCTTTTTTACCTGAAAATTATTGATAATGTTGGGAGGTATCAAGTGATCAAAAGCAAGAGTTTAGTGTCAGTCTGAGCTGGGCTGAAATGTTGACCTTGGTTCCGACCTTGTGACCTTAAGTCATTCAATTATAACTTCTCCGAGCCTCATGTTTCTTATATTTCTGATGGAGATTATTACCTCAGAGAAAATAGGGTGACTGCTAGGTTTAGAAAAGGTATTGTGGGCTAAGCGTGATGACTCATACCTGAAATCCTAGCACTTTGGGAGGCCAAGGCAGGAGGGTCCCTTGAACCTGGGATGTCAAGGCTGCAGTGAGCCAAGATCACATCATTGAAAGGTAATGTGTGTAAAATACTGAATACAATGTCACAATGTCTTTCACATGGTAAAAATTCAATAAATATTAGCTAATATTAAAGTGCCAGAATAATTTGTGTTTCTTCCTACCCATACATTCATTGTTACTTGAGTGACTTGCTGTAGCTAAGTTCTATAAACTGCCTTAGTATATTAATGTGAAAGTCTGACCTTGGCCTTGAGTTAGTACCCTAAGTTATGTTAGCACGAGTTAGGTTACAAATCTCCAAAGGGTAACACTGCTCAAAGAGAAATCTAAAGAGTGGTCCTGGTAGGCTTGCCATGGTAGTAAAAAATATTCTTTCTAGCCATTGAGCCATCTTGTTCATGTTGGGGTAGTTGGAATGGGATTGCATGGATTGGGATGCTTCAAATGAGAGATCTTTAACTTAAGGTGCCTTATTGCCCCTGTAGGTTCAGGTACCTCAGTCATGAGGACTGTAGTAAGGACTTTAAAGTCTACAACCTACATAGCAGTAGTCTTTTTTTTTTTTTTTTTTTTTTTTTTGAGATGGAGTTTCACTCTTGTTACCCAGGCTGGAGTGCAATGGCGCGACCTCGGCTCACCGCAACCTCGGCCTCCTGGGTTCAGGCGATTCCCTTGCCTCAGCCTCCTGAGGAGCTGGGATTACAGGCACGCGCCGCCATGCCCAGCTAATTTTTTGTATTTTTAGTAGAGACGGGGTTTCACCATGTTGACCAGGATGGTCTCGATCTCTTGACCTCGTGATCCACCCGCCTTGGCCTCCCAAAGTGCCGGGATTACAGGCGTGAGCCACCACGCCCGGCAGCAGTAGTCTTATAAGAATTATCCAGCTCTCTTGGGGTCACATTATTTCGAAAGAGAACTGCATGTTTGATTTTTAAGTTTGGACTTATACATTCCAGTACTAATATCTGAAATCATTACATATACCACTTTCAATTGTCTTTGAATGCATTTTTAGTACTTTTATATTCTGGTTATGATTCTCAAAATTTACATATATAAGAAATATATGCATATATACATAGAAAAGCAAGTACTGGAAAGAAACAAAATAATTTGATTAGTTAGAATGTCAGGATTGTAGGGAAATATTTTTATTTTCTAATAATTTAAAAATATTTTATTAGTAATAATATAACCTTTGGGCAATCAGTAAAATAGTAGAAGAAGATATTTTACTGCTGCTATAGAGCTGAACCACAGAAAATGATGGTGTCAGATTATGACTGTTACTTTAAATCTTTCTCTGATTGTTTTTTTTTTTTTTGAGACGAAGTTTCCCTCTTGTTACCTTGTTATCCAGGCTGGAGTGCAATGGTGCGATCTCGATCTCGGTTCACCGCAACCTCCGCCTCCTGGGTTCAGGCAATTCTCCTGCCTCAGCTTCCTGAGTAGCTGGGATTACAGGCACGCGCCACCATGCCCAGCTAATTTTTTGTATTTTTAGTAGAGACAGGGTTTCACCATGTTGACCAGGATGGTCTCGATCTCTTGACCTCGTGATCCACCCGCCTCGGCCTCCCAAAGTGTTGGGATTACAGGCGTGAGCCACCGTGCCCAGCCAATTGTTTTTTTTTAAAGAGAGATGGAGTCTCACACTCGCCCAGACTGGAGTGCAGTGTGATGTGATTATAGCTCACTACAGCTTCAATCTCCTAGGCTCAAGTGATCATCTCAGCCTTTTGAGTAGCTAGGACTATATGTATGTGCCACCAAGCTCAGCTAATTTTTAAATTTTTTTATAGAAATGGTAGTCTCACCATGTTGTTCAGGCCAATCTCCTGGCCTCAAGACTCCCAAAGTGCTAGATCTACAGGCGTGAGCCACTGTGCACAGCCTAATGAGTCTTTTAAAGTCTACAACCTACATATGTAGTCTTATACGAGTTACCCAACTCTCTTGGGGTCACACTATTTCCAAAGAGAACTGCACGTTTGCTTTTTAAGTTTGTACTTATCTGATCATAATAGAGTCTCAGGTTTGAGAGGACTTATAGTCTCTCATTCAGTGGTTGATTCTCCTTTATAGAATTGTTACATAATCATTATAGTAAGTAGCCAGTTATTGTGCATCCATTATTATATGCTAGATACTATGGTAAGCACTTGATGTTAAACATCGTGTTTAATCTTTATAACCACCCTTTGAGTTAGGACAACAGTTCCTAAAGGGTGGTCCGTAGACCTTGGAGATCTTCAAGATTCTTTCAAGGGGTCCATGAGGTCAAAATTGTTTTTGTAATAATGCTAAGATGTTAGTTGCCTTTTTCGCTGTATTCAAATGGGTGGAGCACAAATCAAGGCAGTTGCAGCAAACTACTAATAGTCATTATATTGTTCTCCAGCATGCACTTGGTGGTTAAAAAGAAAGCCAGCTTACCTTAGAATTTTCCTAACAAAGCAGCAAAAAGTATTAATTTTATTAAGTCTTGAATACATTTCTATTTCATATTCTATGTGATTAGATGGGAAGCATACATGAAGCCTTTCTGCTGCATACTGAAATACAGCAGTTGTCTCAAGGAAAAGCACTTGTGCAATTGAGTTGTGAACTGAACTTGGCCATCTTTCCTATGTAACACCATGTTTTCTTGAAAAAATGACAAACTATGATTATTTGGACTTGGTTATTTGACATACATTTTCTCAAAAATGAAATGAGCTTTTAGGAAAGCAACTGACAGTATTTGTTGCTAATGACAAAATTCAAGCTTTCCAGTAAAAATTATAATTTTGGAAAACTTTTATATACTCCCCTGATCTTGACAGGTTTTAAAGACTTTTCTGCTAAGGTCGGTGCTGATTTTAATGAATGTGATTTTTTATACATACATTGTATAGTGAAACATGTCAAGGTTTGGAAGATTTTCATAATTTGGTGAACCAGTATTTTTCAAATTAGAAATGCACAGTGTTACAAAATCATGCATAAGTAAACAATCCATTCAAAATGCAAGATAGACCAATGGAATGTAACAGTATAAAAAGTTCATTGATAAGTTTTGACATTTCGCATTGTAACTTATCTTTATTGATAAGTTTAGTATAATACCAGAAAAGAATATTTTAGGCCAGGCACGGTGGCTCATACTTATAATTTCAGCACTTTTGAAGGCCGAGGCGGGTGGATCACGAGATCAGGAGTTTGAGACCAGCCTGGCTAATGTGGCAAAACCCCGTTTCTACTAATAATACAAAAATTAGCCAGGTGTGGTGGCGGGCGCCTGTAATCCCAGCTACTTGGGAGGCTGAGGCAGGAGAGTCACTTGAACCTGGGAGGTGGAGAATGCAGTGAGCTGAGACCATGCCATTGCACTCTAGCCTGGGCAAGAGGGAGACTCTGACTCAAAAAAAAAGAGAGAATATTTTTAATTCATAGACATTCCTTTTCCAGCTACATGTCTGTGTGAGATCAGATTTCTTCACATACTGCCAAATTAATATATTGCAATAGACTAAATGAAGAAGCAGTTGGGAGAATTTAGCTGTCTTCTATGCCAGACATTGAAGAGTTTTATAAATACGTAAAGCAATATTGCTTTTCATTACCTTTTTGGAAAATATTGTTATTTTTCAGAAAATATGTTATTCATGTTTAAAAAAAAATGGGATTACTGTATTTTATTTTACTTTATTTTGAGATGGAGTTTCACTCTTGTTGCCCAGGCTAGAGTGCAATGGTGCGATCTCAGCTCACTGCAATCTCTGCCTCCTGGGTTCAAGCAATTCTCCTCCCTCAGCCTCCTGTGTAGCTAGGATTACAGGCATGTGCCACCACGCCCAGCTAATTTTTGTATTTTTAGTAGAAAGGGATTTCACCATGTTGGCCAGTCTGTTCTTGAACTCCTGATCTCAGGTGATCCACCCGCCTCAGCCTCTCAAAACGCTGGGATTACAGATGAGAGTCACTGTGCTTGGCCGCATTACTATTACTTTTTAGAATTTAATAAACATTTAAAATTTTGCTTAGTTAAAAAAAAATTAATATTGTGAATGCTGATAGCTATAAGCCACATAAAGAAAAGTTCTTGGGCCAGGCGTGGTGGCTCACACCTGTAATCCTAGCACTTTTGGGAGCCTGAGGTAGGTAGATAACAAGGTCAGGAGATGGAGACCATCCTGGCTAACATGGTAAAACACTGTCTCTACTAAGAATGTAAAAAATTAGCCAGGCGTGGTGGCACGTAT